TGTTTTCTATGAAATAACCATCAGAACAAATGCAGCCACAAACTGTTGTAGTGTAAATAAAAACCTTAACTAATCCTTTAATCCAAGATAAGATAATCCTACACTTTGTGTACGTTTTTTACTGTGTGCATGTGTCAAACACGAGGCCTGTGGGCCTAATGTGGCCCGCCAAGTCTTGCCTGCAGGAGCCTAAGGAACCTAATTCATTAGTACCTTCATGGAGGCAACTGCCCCCTGGAGGGGTCAAGGGTGTCGCTATATACCCCTGTTCCAAACCAACTCCAGTTCTTTTTCACTAACCCTGTGGCGACCTCATCTTCAGACCAACAGGTGGAACTCCCCACAGACTCAGCCGTGTGTTTCAAACACGTGTCTCTGGAGGTTCCAGGTGGATATTGCTTCTCACTCTGCGTTGGTCAGGAGAACTCATCAGGTTCCCAGCAGCGTTTGAGCCTCACCGTGTCTGTTCTGCACCCGTTTGACGGAGCACATATTTTTATTACACCTCGGAGGTGGGAGCAAATCACTGCAGCTTATTGAATCTGGGAGGGTGAGCGACGACGCTGGAGCTCAGGCCCCGAAGGAAAACTCATAAGCAATGCAAACAAACATATTGATCACTCTAATTACCTTCATTGTCCTTTAGGGTGAAGTTGGGATTAACAGGCAGCTGCGTCGGCAGAGCAAAGGAAAACCGCTGTCCGTTGGCAAAGTCGTCCTTGTCCACGGCCGAGATGGTCTGGATGATCTGTGGTCCAGGAGAGAAGAATGAAAATCTGCTTCTCAAAGATCACAAATACAACAAGTTAAACTGCCTTTTTTTAAAATATTCTTGTTATATTTTAATCACAACTAGTTAATTACAGCAGTAAATGTCTACTTTGTATCGACAACTGTGTTAATTATTTTAACGTGTGTGAATTGTTCATGTAGTGGAGAACCTTCTAGGCTGTAACGTCTGCCCTCGTCTTGATGGAAAACCATTAAAACGATTTGGTTTTAGAAAAGGAATGAATCAATGTTTTAAAAAGTCTAAATTGTGAGTGTGAGTGATGTCCTTCAAGGGTTCACAACCCCCGGTCCGTGGACCGGTACAGGTCCCTGGTTCATTTGGTACAAGTGAAAGAATAAATAAAAACATTGTGGACTGTCGCCCTAAAACACAAGGTTCTAACAGGAACTGGAGCCGGAACATGATCCATGTTGGTGCAAAGGTCACTGTCACTTCATCATGTAGCACAGACGTTCTTAACTTTTGCTGTATTTTCTCCCTGACTCTCTCTTTTCTCTCCCTCTCCTCCCACAACTTCACTTATTTTTCCTAACTGTTCAAACAGACGGTGACTGTGTGCAGAGAAAAATCGACCTAATATCCCTCCTCACCTCAGGGACGTCTCAGCGTCCGTATGAGGTTTTGATGTTGTGATTATTGTTGTTGCTCTTGATGTGTTTTCACACTACAGTCAGTTTGGCCGTCGACACAGCAGCATCACAGTGTTGTTGTTAACAATTTTAAAATAAACCTCCTTCTACATGTATAATCTGTGCATTGGTACCAAATGAACCACGGCTCGGTGCTCTCACTGCTGCACAAACAGCTAACGTGTGGAGGAAGAAGGTGTTAAAGGAAGGATGTGTTTGACAATTTCCTTGCAGCTGAAGTGCAAAAAAAAAAAAAGGGATGAAGAATAATAACCAGAGAAAGATGGCTATTTATCGAGTTTCTTCTGACCGTGTGGTAAAATATGTTGGCTTTGTTGTACTGTCACCAATTAGAATGAATGGACAAAAATGGTCCAGAATTTTACTTTCATCAGAGATATTGAAAAGAAACATAACAGAGGAAATTCAAGGCCAACAAGCAACAAATAATTATTGACCTCAGGGTAACATTCCTTAGCAACAACATCAACATCGAGGTGTGTCAATTCACAGAAAGTAACTGTGTGATCACACCTCAAAAAGGATTTTCATTATCACGTAAACTGGTATTAAAAAAAGAAACAAACAAAAAACAAGTAGAAAAATACACAAGGACAAAGGACAGTAAGTAGACCAGGCTCCACTCTAGATGGTCCACAGACTTCTCTTGGTCCTCGTCACCCACCTGTCCTGCCCTGGAGCTCTCACAAACAATGAGCTCCTCGTCCGCAGCTATTTCTGGAGGATTGTCGTTGACGTCCAGGACCTGGACCGTAACAGGGACGTGACTGAACAGGTCGTGGTTGTCTGTGGCAGAGAGAGATGGAGATCACGTGACCAGGATGAAAGTCAGGGTCAGAGAGATCACGTGACCAGGATGAAAGTCAGAGTCAGAAAGTCATCACTCTGTGATGACAAAATGGGACAAAATCTTCTCCTGTGGTTTTAGTTTTGTTCTTTTTTTCTGCCCAGAAAACAGCGAAGGATGAACTGTATTAAAGCAGATCTGAACAACTCCCAGTTCTCCCATGGTGTGATGATGTTGCACCAGTGTACCCATGAGACTCAAGTGACTCATTAAACTCAGAAAACATTTGTTTTAACTTAACATAAAGAATTTTGGCAAACACCGTCTAAGGAGGTTCAACATAAGGTTAGACCGGATCAATGAGCATCTTCAGAACTGATTCTCTGAAGGTCAGGTGACCTCGGCCTCTGACCTGAGTTTGAGCACATTTCCTGTTCAGCACAGGTGTGAGAACTGTGTATTTTAACGTTGACTGTGCAGGAAAATAACATGCCGACTCGGCAAAAGCTGTGGGTGAAGAGAAAAACAAACACGCAGGTGCGGTCTCTCCATTAAATTAATGTTCTGGGTGTGTTTATTTTTTTTAGTTGCATCATCATGTGCAAACACTGCAAGTCAAAGGTTGAACCGAGTCTCCAGTTTCCAGCTGCTGTTTCCACGAACACAGTTTGAATCGAATCCTAAAAAGTGGAGCGTGAGCGTGGAAAGTTCAGCTCAGGGTCAAATATTGACTGGATTTAAATTAGATGAATAATAATAAACTATTGAAGTTTTAATTTGGCTTTTCCACTGAAACAGCTTTTGGTTATTTTTGGCTCTTTGGTTAACCGCCAGCTACACGGATTTAAAGCTAATTCACGATGCTATCACTCAGCTATTATGATAAACATTCTCTGTAAGTTTTGTTTGCTAAATTATAGCTTTTTGATCGTTTAATTGGCTTGTAGCTCTTTAGCTTTAGCTTCTTTAACCTTTAGCTACAGCATATTGATATAGAACAGGCACACACACACACACACACACACACACATATATATATATATATATATATAGACATATATATATATTGCTGCGGGTCATCTGTAAGAGTTTTCTTTTTAAAAAAAATAACTGTCTTTGATTTCTCACTCTCGGCTCCGCTGATCTTTTTTACCCACTACATCACTCTGCTGTGCTTTTTTCTGCTCTTTGTGTCTCTGACACTTTACGTCCTTGTTCACTCTAAACCAGTAAAAGTGCTTTAAAAAAAAAAAAAAAAATGGCTCCACTCTGTCGCCTGATGTTATCTCAGAACAGGAGCGCGGCCTTGAATACCGAGCAGAAGTGAGCAGATAAGAAAAGTCATTAGCATGCAGCTGCCTTTTACCGTTTGCTGAGGAGATTTTACCTAATTGCGATTACAAATTACCCAAGCTACCTGATAGCAGTTCTAAAAGTTAGCAGGGCCTGCATTGATTTTAATTAATTTCCAGTGTGAGAAAGGACACTAAAACAATTGGGTCTCATTTGATATTCCAGCTAAGTATAAAGAAAAAAAAAACATTCAGCTATTTGAATACATTCTAATCAAAATGCAAATAGACTCATTCATCCCTGTTTTCTCCAGACAGTTAATTTGACTATTAACTCACCTGATGTTGTTGTGTTTATTACTGTTCGCTGCTCTTAACGTCGAAAGGGTTTCTGCTAATTACACAATTAAAATGTCTGCGCTCTGAGATGTGGCCGTTTATAGAAATGTAAAACTACTGATGAGGGAAGAGAATGGACTGTGATGTTTGTCAAAACGATCATCACATGAACGTTGTCTTCATTAAAGCTGGCCGTGAACACGACACTGGTCCTAAATGGGACTGGATTAAATACAAGAAAATACTGATTCTCCGTCAGTGGAGGTTTGAACTAGTTCTGAGGTTGAAGTAAAAATAAATCAAGGACAGAAAGTGAATGGAAACCTGATCAAATGACTGAAGCTCATCAACGGGTTTTGATCTAAAACCATCTGATTTATGAAAGACCATTTCATCATGTTGTGACCCAGTGTCAAATCAGAATTCTACAGAGACAGAATTCTCTGACTCTAAAAAAAGCACTGGAGGAGAGTTAGGACTGAAACTTGGAGGAGGTGAGCAGACAGAGTCAATGAGGATTGTTGTCCAACCCTGGTAGAGACAAATGGACACAGATGTGAGTGTGTGCAAATGATCCTGGTACCTACCAACCTCCGAGGCCATCACAGTGATGTTATGCCAAGGCATGTCCTCCCTGTCCAGGGGCTGCGTGGTCTGCACCACTCCAGTGCTCGCATCGATCCTGAAGAGCCTCTTGTCCTCATCTTTGGTTGTCATGAAATACCTGGGAGGTAAACAGGAACATTATTCAAGCTTGTTTACAGCTTTTGCTCTCAGGTTTCTGGGGATGAACCAGTTACAGCTGGTGTTCCCCAGAGAAAAGAGAGACAAAGACTGACGTCTGATCAGTCACTTAAATTTACAATTCTGAGCCGACCCACAAACACAGCAGGAACAGAAACAACAGAATCATCTGTGCTGGTCCTGTCTGCTCCACGTCAAATAAAAAACATCACTCTATTATAAAAAATAAAAACACAACCATAACTGATCAAATATTCCGTCTGATCAAACAGAACAGTGGAATGAAAGAAGGACGTGAGCTGCTGGAAACAACAGAGAATCTTTTTCTGCTCTCATGTTTCTGAAAGTCTTGTATCGCCACGGAAACATGGACGTAATAATCCCTGAACGTACTCTAATGGACCTCAGCTCTGGACACAAGGCTGTGAAATCCATATTTCTGAGATGAGAACAATTATCCTTAATATTTAATGATGAAAGGTGATGTTTGCACTTTTTAACGCTCTTGTAGCCACGCTGTTGTTAAAGCCAAAGTGGGTGAGTCTTTAGAAGAACTCCTTCTCTGCAGTAACAACAGAAAATGAGGCATAAAAAGTACCACAGGAAGCGGATCCCAGGTGGGACTCAAATGCCAGCAAATACTGCTCCTAATTACCTGCAAAATACCACAAAAACACTCATTAAATATCAGGGTGAATGGTCCGACCTGGAGCAAAGACCCAAGTGAAAACTGACTAAACTAAAGCTCGATTTTCAGGTTGTACAGTTTCCACTTCCAAAGGGAACGCTGTGAACAGTTTTGGAGATTAAAGTCTAACTGGACTGGTTTCTTAAAGACTTTGGTTCTAACCTACCGTTGGCCTCAGAGTTGCTTTTTGTTTTTTTTTTTTGGCCCAAGGCAAAACCAATATTTGTTACAACACCTTGACCTGGTGTTCACACTGACTGACTGATGGTCACCACCTTTGAAGTATGGATGGTTTGAGCCAATACTCAGGGTCGGTATTTGACCGACAACAGACCGTCCAATCCGATATCTGAACCTAAACACTAAACATAACTTTGCGTAACATTTGGTAAACAGAGCCGGAGCCCGCAGCAAGCTGGAGGAGAAGATATTGATATGAGTATAACCTAAAACAGGTCAAACTGGAACAAATACTGGTTGCTAGACAACATGGTTTCACACTGGACCAAATGTATTGATCCTGATGTTGCTTTAAAAAACAAGAAAAAAAAAAAATCAGTCAAAGCAAACCTACAATACCAGAACATACTGGTTCAAAGTAAAATGAAAATTCCATTAAAATACTTTGTCTTGCTGAAGCAAAAAAACAAAAACAAAAAAAAACAAACCCAAAACAAAATACCCAAAGCACTGTACTTTAAATATTCAGGGACAAAAACAAATAACTGGCCCTGAAACACGGACCAACACTGATCCTATCACAGGGGAGATCGTTAGATAATATGGATTCAACCTAAAACAAACTTACTGTGGTACAGACATAACAGATCTGAACTGTCCTGTAATTAGGACCAAAATATAAGAGGTATCAAAGAAAGGAGTCTGAAACTGGTCCCTAAACATAAAATACTGTTTCTACCTCAGGCCAAAGTACTGAAACAATTGTATCTTAAGTATCAGAATAACGATCCGTACTGCAGTTTCTACTGTGAAGCCCCGGTGCATCTGCTAATGACCTATTAACACATTTAAAGCAGCATGTGCTCGTCTGGGGAACGTGGACCTGTTCAACACCATCAACAGATAAGAACCAGAACCACAGATAACCACAGCAGGAAGCATTTATTTAAAGAAGGTTCTGTGGAAGCTGCTGGAACAGTGATATAAAAACCGGCTCATGATTTCAGTCAGATTCAGTGAGAGACGTTCACTTTGATTAATTGGTTCGTGTCGCTGCGTTTTTGGGGCAAAAACAAAAAAACAAAAACTTTGAAGGCATTCTTCACTCCTCTGCTGCTGCTGCTGCTGCTGCTGCTGCTGAAAAGTCCTGATGTTTAGAATGTGAACCTCGGATACAAAGGAAGTGCAGTCTCATGGAGACGTTCAGCCGAGAGGCTCAGGGTTTATGGAGCTGCAGCTTCGGCTCAGAGGCAAAGGCAGAGAAAAGAGAAGATTAGTAGAAAAAAAGACAGAGAGAGTTTGATGAAAGGAGGGTTTAACTAGTCAACCCTGCCACAGTCAGTGAGCTGCTGCACAGTTAATGCTAATGATTCAGACTTCTGTCTATTTTCACCTGCTGCGGATGCTGCTCCGTCCTCCGTTGAACTGATGAACTCCGGACTTCAACAAAGACGTGACGTGTGATTGGAGACAGATTTGAAACTGTAGGCCTGGAGTGAAGCTGAGGTGAAACCTGCTGGTGTCGTTTGGTTTGGAGACTGAGGACATTGTCCAGAAGACAGAAGAGAGAACTGGTAGTAGTTTGGACATGTGTGGATGTTGGAGAAGTAGATATCAAAGAAGATCATCATCAAGTGCAGAAGCTTGGTTTATTGGAGCTCGTGTGGAGGAGGGGCTTCTCCTCAGCGGTTTGTGTTTATTTTCTTTTAATTGAATGATCTTGCATTTTATTTCATTCGTAGTTTTTATCCTCTTTAAAAAGAACATGCTCTCCGTCTGCACCCGGGCAGTTGAAAAAAGTGGGCCATCTAAGGGAGGCAGTTATGTAACCATGTGGCCAACAAGTGCTGTGAAGCTTCAAAATCAAGAAACACAAACACAAGATCTGAGTCTTGGTTCTGTGATGCAATCTGCCTTTTTACTGCAGCCCAAACAGAAGTCGAACGGCTGAAAGGAGTCCAACTTCAGAGAAACATTAATAACATCAGCAGCAGCAGCAGCAGCAGCAGCAGCAGGTTGGAGACTGGAGCTGGAAGTTAAATGCCGTCTCGCTACACCCACAGAGTCTGAGGCAGACATCTGATCAGAAAAGACCAGCGTGGGTGGACTTCAGGTGAACACGGGCTTTTATAGTCCTGCCACAGGCTGCAGGGCTCGGGGCCTTTCCCAGGTAGCACGGAACATGCATTGTTCTCACAAGTCTGTGTGATGTGTGCGGTGGCGTGGTGGAGAAGGTGGAGGAGAGTCTGCTGACCTTTCTGACTCACAAGGAACAACAGGTCGCTACATTTTAGACCAGGGTTTAGAGAAATATGTGAAGTATTAGCAGCTGGCAGGACGCCGATCTACAGGACGTCTCCTCTGAACCTTCCTTCACATCATTCCTAATGTTGAGAACATAAAGGAGAAGCCACAGGAGAAACATCATCGACATTCACTTGAACCCAGAAGCAAAAAAACCCACTGTTCCCTGGACACTGGATCAGAACCCAGCAGAGATCAGCACATGGTTCTTTTTGAACTTCAAAGGTCTGCTCCAGCTGACGATGGAACAAACATGTCACTGAAGTGACAGGTCCAATCACGGAGTGAAGCTGACGTCTCAATATCCAATCAGAGCCCTGATGGTTCATTACCTCGGGTTGATCTCAGACATTATCAGTAGCACCTCCTGGTAAAATTCATTTGTTAGTTTTTATTTTCTCCTACAGTAATTTTGCACACAGATGGAGACAATTCACACTAACATTCACACCTACAATCAATTCAAAGTGAACGTTAACCTAATCATCATCTGTACCAGTACTGGAATGAACCAGTGACCTTCTAGCTCTTAGGCAATGTCACTAACCACTCCTCCACTGTGTGGCCCATATCTATATTCCTTTTTGTCACATTTTTTATTATGATTCTCATTTATAGTGTTATTATTTTTTAGTACTTCTCTTCTGGATTCAGATGTTTGTTTTGTTTTTGCTCCAGTCGTAACGATGACATGTGAGTGAATCAGTGAATCCTCTGCAAACTAAAGGCCAGAGATGCCGCTCACATTCATTTCCATCAAACTGGCCGAGGAATTCAAAACAATAAAAATCACACTTGGTCTAAACGGAGGCCTTCAAAAAACAAATGGAATGAAATGTGAAGTCAGCAGGAGGTTCCAATCTTATTAATACATCAGCATCACGTCTCCTCTCAGGAGGAGAGCGAGCTCATGTCGACTCCAGCTGTGCACAGTTGTTGACTGGAACATGTGTAAAGAAGAAAAAAAAACCCTGAGATTAGTTTGCCTGAGGCTAACATCAATCTGGTTTTTTTTTTTTGTTTTTCTTCAGTGGTTCGCTAGCATGTGTTTAGTGAGCATACATTTGTGTTAAGCTGTTGTATCGCCTCGGGCTGCTCATGATGGACTGTCTGATATTGATGCAAAACAAAAAAGGAGCAATTTGAGTCATATAACAGAATTTTGGCTTGAAGACAATTTAGGAACGCGGCTTATCTGTTGTTGCAAAAGCATCGGGATCTAACTAGCCCCCGGCAGCACTGTGTTTACTCTGTTTACATCATTTATATTAACATAAGAGCATGTGGAGAGAATGGATTTGACATCACACACCGGCACAGTCGGCCTCCTACCTGACAGGGCTGTTCCTGCCGTCAGGATCCCGAGCTGTCACTGCCCCCACCTCTGTGCCACTGGGTGCGTTCTCATAAACATCCATGATGTAATAATCCATAGAAAAGACCGGGGCCTCGTCCACGTCGCCCACTGTTATTTTAAGGGTGGCCGTGTCTTTAAACGATCCCAGGTAGGAGAACCGAGGGTCCGTGTGAGTGTTCGTGCCTTCAATTTGGAGAGTGTAGCTCTTCTTCCTCTCATAGTTCAGAGGCTGCGGGGAAGGGTCAAAGGTTAGCTAGAAATTCTTTAAACAAATCCACTTTGGCCCAGAAATCTCTCAAACATTAATTGAACGTTCACACCAAATGTGACAAAAAGCTTGAAACACCTCGATCGCGCAGCTTGATCATTTTTGGATCATTGCTTCGTTCGCGCTCCTCACGACGAGACACAAATAGTCTCACGTCTTACCAGAATAAACCCGTCGCTAATTGGATGTCATGGCGCAATACCGGTTTAAAGTTATTTTTTTTTTTTTTTTACTTCATTTGTGTCAGAAATCCACGTCACGTCAGATCTCTAATTGCGTGTTGTTGCATCATTTACATTGATTGTACGTATGGAGATGCCGTTCAATTGGTGAGGTGTCAGTCTCATTTGGTGTGAATGTCCAATCAGAAGGCACCTTTCTGAGGCTGATGACTCCCTCCCTGGTGTCCCTGTCCGTGGATATGGAAAACGTGTTGGCTCCCTCTGAGTTAATGATGCTGTACTTGATGTCTGCATTGACGCCGATGTCCTCGTCGTTTGCTTTGATTTTTCCCACTGGTTTTCCGACTTGAGCGGATTCAGGAACGTAGAGCTGGTAATTCTCTGCGAACACAAACCTTTCTGTGTATCCATGAAAAGAGGAGACTTTTTCAAACAGACCGTCTCCACCTCATCCTGACAGTCTCATTGGTTTCATTCTAAACTCTGAGCAGATCAAATTCTGACAGAGCTGATTATGTAGAAAGTCATAATGAAAAGATTTTTTTTTTTCACTGCAGCAGAGAATGAGGTGTGAGCTGAGGAGGAGGAGGAGGAGGGGGAGAGGGTGGAGGAGGGGGGGGGCAGTTTGATGATGCGTTTTCTCCCAACATGCTGATAACCACATATACTTTATTACATGTGTTTACCAATAAAATACGCAGACAGTCAGACTCTTAACGTGAGTGTTTGGATAAATGTTCATCTGATTTAGCTAATTTAAGTCTGATATGAAACGACGCAGGTCCAGGTTTATGAAGTGTCGTATATCAGAGTTAATAACGCTGAGCCAGTCTGTGAGGGGAAGCTGCACTAAAGCATGATTTACTCTCAGGAACTGTCTTGGGCTGTCCATGCCTCATCAATGAATCAATGCATGAGTAAAAAGTCTGTCAGCAGGAAGAGAATTAAAAACTGTAAAGAGAAGACTGGACTGAATAAAGTAACTTTTAATGTATTCAAATTAATTGGATTTCTATTTAGCACGTGTCCATTTTAATTCATTTACAGTGAGTGGTCAGACAAATCATTACTGGAGATGTATGATGTGAAGTATCATAAATCTAAACTAATCTAATTTTGATGTCACTGCAATAAGTTATTATCCAGCAGTATATTAGACCGATTTCATCTAATATTTAATATGACATGTATATTGTATACATTTATATTTTACCTAATTAAAATGTCATAGGTTGATTATTGACTACTTTAACCACCTGAGCTCTAACTGCAGTGAACCCTTGGTTCTAGATCAGCTCAGACACCAAGCCGTCACTGGATCACTCTCTACCTACTTTGAGGAAACTTGGGGGGGTTGTCGTTGACGTCGGTCAGAGTGATGTTGACGGTGGTGGAACCAGAGAGACCTCCGACCTGACCTGCCATGTCTTTGGCCTGGATGACAACCATATAGTGTTCTCTGGCCTCCCGGTCCATGTCGGGTAAGGCGGTCCTGATGATCCCTGAGAAACAGGAGAACAAAGAGGACGATTATTGTAAGTGACAGGAATAAAAAGTGATTGGAAAATGCCAGCAAACATGGCAACAAGAGAGAGAGAAGAAGGTGGAGAACAAGACTGTGTGAAAATATGCTGTGTTCAGCTCTGTTCTCCAAGTGAATTCTGTCCAAAACCCTATGGTTCACTTTCACACCTCGCTTTTGAAAGTGGACCAAACCACCCACTTTAACAATTCTTAGCGCTTGGACTTCCTGGACAGTGGGGAGAGCAGAACAGTTAGGTGTCGCTCTGCTCTGTGTCTCACTCACAAGGTGAGTCTTAAGTCACTCTTCCTTTGTGTTCAAAATGACGATGCAACCTTGGATCAGAATAGAATGTGCTGCTCAATTAAATTTAGAACCACAATAAGTCTGCAACCTCAGCCCTTGGGCTCTGACAATACAAACACAGTGATGTACGACTGCAGCTCGGCTCAACACGCACACCAACCCTGCTCTGGTGAATTACAAAACAATAACCATGAAAAAAAAAACAACAGGGACAGTTGTTTCCTCCTGTGTTGCTGAGCAGACGGTGATTTGTGGCATTTATTAGATGAGAACCTTGCACGTATTCCGCTCCGTGTTCGTAGAAAGACTGAGATGCCGATTTAGCTCCGTGTCAGCCTGTGTCCAACACCGCACTTAGCACACCGCCTGTCTTAATATATTCCTGCAGGTCCGATGGGGTTTGTCCCCTGAGCTGAGACCCTGGAGCAACTGTTGAACTTTTGCTCCTGTGAACTTGTGAACCCAGCAATAACACGGAGCGTTTGAGCAAGAACACTGAGGCCCAGGAGAACGTAGCACGGCCGTTGATCGTGACACGAAATGGACTTAGCTGCTGCCCTCATGTTGTAAGTGGAAATCAGAGAAAATGGCTGTAGAAATGAGGCCGACAGAGCTGTTCCACCATAGTGTCATTAGAATTAGAGTAGCCTTGATTTCTTGAACAAGCACAGAAAAAAAGGAGTTAAGTTGCAGCTGAAAATAAATCATAAAGCAAACAAAAACCTAGTATCTGTATCTGCTGAGTCCCCAGGTTTGCTGCTGCTACAGTATGGATCATAGCAGGGGTTGATCTGTCTGTTTTTGTGTTGGTGAGTGACTCAAAGAAACCAAAATCCATAAATGGGCCTGAGGTGAGGTATTATTTGTCCATCTGTGAAGGCATTTAATGCACTGCTAAAATACACTTGACCTTTTTTGAAGCAGATGAATGCAGCGTTGTAATTAAAGCTTTACTCCAGTGGTAAAGTGAGACTCTCTTTCGCCTGCTGTCTCTGTGAGTCTTTAGTCCAAAACAAACTGCCGGCCTCAGGCAGGAAACTCATTTAAATCAGGTCAGAAAGTCGAGCTGACGATCGTATTAAAACCACAGGATCACAGGTTGTACATCATCTGTGGAGTGGCCGTTCACCCGGCGACAATCAGTGAAACAACAGAAAGACCCCGGTCCATGAAAACAAATGGACGGAGGAGCAGAGAAATATTCAAACAACGAGTCATTATTCTAGTAAAACTACGTCTAGGAATTGGCTTTATGCCAAGGTCTCTCACACTAACTGTGATAGAGTTGCATTCACACAAAAGCATCTATTGATTTCTGTTTCTTTTTGTTTGTTTGTCTTTCTTTTAGTTTCATTTCTTTCCATCAACAAACAGCGAGTCCTCAAACGTCCTCTGCAGAACAGAAATGAAACTTATTAGGAAGTTGTCAGGAACATCGGAACCGGGTCTGACCTTTTTCCTTCATCAGACTCCATTGCAGGAATTCAGTGGGTTTAATGTAGCGACTCTGAAAGTGCCGGCCATTTCACCGCCGTCATTGAATGTGTATTAGTTCTGCTTGTAAATGGTGCAGCTATTAAGGGCTTCAAATATTCAGGCTAAAAGACGGAGCGGACTGTGACATAAGGCTCCCTTTCTATAATATAATATATATAATAATATAGAGAGAGTTTCTATTTTGAATTCATGTTTGTTTTGTCTACTGTAGATAACCACTGTTTCCAATTCAACTTTCACCATCTTCTATTTTTAATATTGAGAAAAGACTCAGGAGGGAAATGAGTTTCTTCAGTCAATGTTAAAGTTATACAGTACGTAACACAATGACTAACCCGCCTCACCACTGTCTGACCATCCAACACCAGGTCAATTCTGGCATCACAATGATAGTGTTCTGTTATTAAAGCTGTAAAAATCAGCTCATCTGACACACGTTGATGAGACAGAGCTCTGTGGGTCAAACACTGACTGATCAAGAATGACAGCATTTCATAAAAAAGGAATGTGTTGAAAAGACAGAATTTTAGAATTCTTTTCATTTAAAAAAATAAGGAATGAGAACAAAAAAGCAGTTGGAGATGATGAGGATGGAATTCAAAGTGAGAAACAGACAGAAGGAAAGAGAAGATCCAGCAGAAAGGTATAAAAAAATGTTGAACCAAAAACATTTTAGTGAAATAGTTGATGGTTTCCTCCTCCTCATCTTCTAATGCTTCACCATCTTTATGCTTTTAAAATTTGCTTTTTTTTAATGATAAGCATTAGTATAAGTTTATAACAATAATAATAATAATGATGAATGTAAAATATTTCTTCAGAAGAAAAGTTTTGACTTTTTCTTGATTTGTTATTTAAATGTCAGGTCTCTGCGTCTGTCTCTGTTCCTGCAGCTGCCTCTCTGTAATGATATGGTTTCTCCAGACATGTCAGAACTACAGTGGCGTTAACCAAAGTTTTAGCCAGGCTTCAAACACACAGACCTTTAAACGTAGCCACACATTCCTTAAAAAAAAAAAAAAAACCTCAAACAGATGAGATGACCTTTGAAAATCTCTTATTACCCTCCTTTACACATGAAGGAACATCAGTCCTGAGCAATATTCCACAACAGTGGCTTTGAGCAACAATAGGCTCCGAACGACTGAGGGATTTTCTCCTGGACTTTTAGGTCACAGAGATTCCAGTGTTTTCCACCGTAGAGAAGGAGAACGGCTGTCAATCACTTCTGCAGATTAAAAAAAACTGAGGAGTTTTTTTTTTAATGTACTGACTTCACTCTTGATGATCTATTTCTACACAACTGCACAACTGACTCGTCAAAAGCATCGGTGTAGGGCTTTCTGATTGGTGGATTTGAATTTTGAATCACAGGAAGAAGGAAGAACCTAAAGGCTGTAAACTGTAGATCGGTGGAACACCAACCTGCCAATACTGACCATGCCTGTGTCCACTGGTATGAAACGGTCCAGACTTTCCTAACAACCTCTGACCTGCCTTTATTCCTCAATCTACTTCACCACAATGACAAAGGCCCCTGGTGAAAGTTCCTGAACTCACCTTCTGTGAGCTGCTCCGAGGTGAAAACCCTGAGACAGCCTCCACCACACAGACCTCAGTGGAGCTCGTCACTTCATTTAGAAAATAATTGAGAAAAAGCTGACTTCCCTGAACCGGGGTCCACTGGAGACAGAGGGGAGGTTAGCCTTTTCCTCAACCTCCCCGCTCTATTAGAGTGTAGATACAATCACATCATCCAGCTCTTTGTCTGGCTGGGAACTTCTAAAGGAGGACAATCTCCTGGGAGAACAAAGAGGATTAGAAAAGGATTACTACGCACTCGCCCATCTCCACCTCCAAGAATCTGAGTTGTTGGTTCCACTGATACGATGTTAACCACGTCTTTCTGTAATTGCACATTGTTTACAGAGAAAACCGCTGCTGAAAAATCACCTGAGACAGGTTTAGTAATCACACCCTTGGTGTTGGGCTGTCTGTGATTATACTGTATATCTGATTAGGGATCAGCACTGAGACAGTTGAAGGTCAGCTGACTGACACACTGACAGCTCCTCGGTTGTTCCAGCAGCATTAATCCGTAAACCTCGAAAACATCTTGATCTGTGTCAGCTCCTTCACCAAACTCCCTCCAAATCCCAGATCAGCAGAGAAATTAACCTACTTAGGATTCAACGGGGACCTGAAGGTTCCACAGCCTGGTCTGTCTTCGACTCTAATGTGAGGTTTGTTTTTTTTTTGGAGAGGGTTGGACTGTGAGAGTGACGAGGAGAAACCCTGTGTGTCTCTGCGGTACCAGTGACGGATGCACAGCAGTGCAGGGAAGGACAGGTGTTACGACCCGTCTATAAAAAGGATGAACGCCTCCGTCGTCTCACATGTTCTTCTGCCGAGATACAGAGAGCTCTGATTAAACTTTGCTGCCTTGCACTTTTAGGGTTTGCAAAGCATGTAATCAGATCTACTGCAGGGGAATATTATCACTTTATGTTGGCCACATAACTGGGCTTTTCATATTTCCTAATATTATAAGAACAGTGGAGCGGGGAGACGTTCATCTAGGAAATACGGTTCTCTGTCTTTTCTACTTTTCTATTTTTCTCTGTTCGATGGAAACATCTGATCTAGTTTTTTTATTTTTATTATAGACAATTAAGGCAGCTAAATGGGTTTTCATCATATTAAAGGAACTCAATCTTAAATACTGGAAATATTTCTGGTGTATTTGGAGGGTTTATTTTTGACACAGCTCAACTCTGGACAAGGACAACTTGATAAAACGCATCATGACCCAATCTGTCTGAGGACCTTCTGACTGACCCTGTTATGAGATTACTTGTGTTTGCCTCCATGACAAACTAAAGGAAATGTTTCCTCCTCCTCCAGGATCTCGTTTTCATTTTTCACCCCGACTCCCAAGTGTTATTGATCTTTTAATCAAACTCTTGACTTTGAGTCAAGTTTACTTTAATATTTCCCTAAAAATATTTTGGGGATTTCTCTAATGAATTCCTGTTTGGTGGTGATGAATTTATGAATATAGATTTTTAAATAAAAGTAGATTAACATCTAAACTGCTGCATCAACGTGTAATAAATCAAAGTGGAAAGGAGGGAAAAAAGACAACGTGTAATAAATCAAAGTGGAAAGGGGGAAAAAAGAGCAGCTCTGTGGTTTTTTTATTGCAGCTCCTTCCTGCAACAGGTTTTACCCTCATCAATTATTTCTGGTTTGGATCTGCCCTAATTGCTCTAATACACGGTCAATACACACGTTGTTATTTACAATCGCTGCAGGAACGAGTTGTAGTTTCACTGAACATCCCATAATAATCTCCCAGACATGTATTTGTTAGGACACCAACCTAAGGACAGACTCACCACTCGCTGATGTTTAGGAAGACGCCGTCCAGATGAACAGTCATGACTAAAATACACCAACCCCACGAAGAGACTTAATAATTAATAATATCATCTTTTGGATGAGCCTCCTGTTGACATAAGGTCACATTTGCAGTAAAAATGTCAATTTTCTTCTTTTACTGATGATGTCATCAGTGATGTGTTTTTAGGAGAGACTTTTGCAGCAGTTGAACTCTTCACTCTGCAGGTCATCAATCAGCAGAAACTGACTTCAGCTGTGATCAGGTTTCCCTCCTTTTCTCTGAAGCCACGCCCCTTTTCCAACAGCAGGTGGAGCAGCTCCTGTTTCCAATCAATTGATCAGTGCAGCAGGATAAAAAGCTGTCTCTGAGTAGAACACTGTGTTCTACTCTGGTCTCCTCAGATCTACTGGACTAGACGGAGGTTTAGAAAGAAAGAGAAGAGCCGCCGTCTGTCACCAATCTTTGCAATAATTATTATTAATTCCATCGTCATCAACATCTACCAACTGATTTGTGTTTTAATGTTCCATCAATATAGAGAAAAAATCTCTTTCACTGGCTGATTCTCTCTGTTTCAGTTCAGTTCTGCTCCCACAGAAAAAAAAAACATCTCTGCAGAACCTGAAGAACAGAGTGGTTTTTTTCTGCGTCTACTGTTTGACATTTGATCCTCGTCTTTTTTATTCCACTAAAACAGAAGTTACAACAGAAAATGCAAAACACAGAATATGAGCTGTAGAGCAACCCGAGTCAGAGACGGCCTCGTTAATGATGTGTTAGTGTTCAGTGTTCACCCTCACATCTATATACCACGGTAGAGAGAGAAGGACACGGTGGAGGACAGACCAACACTGTACACACGGTTGTCAAAAGTTTTTTTCAGTTCAGATAATTATTCACTGCCTTTCCCTCACGATCAGATTTATTTTTGTCTCTGTCCTGCTCTTTTGTTGCCTTTTATCTAAATTTAATCCCAAACTGTTATTTTTCCTTTGTCTCCATGACACTGTCATTTAGATTTTTACACCCATGACTGGATATTTTTCAGTTGAGAGGTGCACAGACTTTAATCTCTGCTCAGAAAAAAATCATTTTCAGTTTCAGAGCAAAAATATGAACAGATCTGTCATCATTGTGTGAATCTGGTTGAAGAAAGTGCTTGAATGTCAAAATACATTTTCTTCATTTCCATAAAACCTGGTCATGTGACATTGTTCAAGTTTCCAGGCATTAAGCAGGAAATATGATTTTTATTATCCTTCTACATGAACAAATAATCTGAAATGGTTAACAAGACTAATGAATACCCTTCAGTTAATACTATAATACTACAAATATAAATACTTGAATAAAGAATAAATTCTACAAGGCATTAATAATCTCCACAGTTCTATTATTTTTATAAATGCTTAAATTGCAAAATTTTCTTAAAGTTAGATAGAAAGAAATTTCAGCCGAGGAAAAGCAAAATAGCACGAGAAAAAAAATAATTAGAAGAAACTATGTAAATTAAATTAGATTATTTTGACCTTTATTGATTCCACACTGGGGACATAGTAGTGGCAGTAAAATCAATTTTTCAGTAAATAATTGTTTTGTAATCCAATCTGACTGAATCTGTGTTCTCCTGTGGGTCAGCGTTGTTGAAATGTTCTGTTTACATTATTTTATTTTTGCAGTACCTTAAATGAACTACCATAAATACATTAAACCTGCTGAATACAGACCCTGTACAGACTGGTTTCTGTACTTAACTTAACATCAGCAATTTTGGTTGGTGACTGAACCATTGAACATTCATCCAGGTGAAGTTAAAGGGTGTGTCCTTTAACTTCTACTTCCCCATATCCTCCATTAATGGATTACTACAAACTCACAGTAAAATGACAGCCGTTATATTCAACATTTGAAGACTTTCTTGGCTCTGTACTCTGTCATCTGGTCACTTGTGGACTGGCTTCAGTCCCGATCACTGATGTGCTGTTGGGTTGATAAACAAACTCATATGGTAAATGTCCACTGCTGCAAAACTTTAGGAACAACATGTTAAAGTTGATGGATCTGTTTGCTCAAAGCCCACAAAGACAGAATGTCTCTCTCTCTCCTGGTGCAATACTTAGTTTAGAAGTGCGTCACACTTTAAACGCTGTCCTCTCAGCAGCTGCTGCAGTTTTTTTTTCTTCCAAACAGAGTTCTAAGTTTTTGTTTTTTTCTAACAACATTATCAAAGCCTCTGAGCCACAGATGGAACAGTTCACTCTGCAGCTTTCTGAGGATTTGGTCAGAGCCTGGAACCACTTTTGGAGGTTTCCATATGA